CCCCCCCCCCCCTGAGCAGCGTCAAAGTTCGGATCGAGAGCGGAGAGAGGGATGCGGACCGTTTCTTGCTCTACCTCTGGCGGCGACGGCGGTGGCGACAGCGAGGGTGGGACGACCTGTTGTCCATCTGCAGGCGGGGGCAGATGAGCGTCAGCAGCTTCAAACGTGAGCGCGGTGTCAGCCTACCGACTACAGAAACGGCCGGGCATCTCGCGCTGCGTCCCGCCCGGCGAAGTGGCGAGGCGAGGGGCACAATCAGGCGGCACCTGTCCCTCGTTGCTGTCCGCCAGCAAGCCAGCAAAGCGTCATCAGACTCCTCTCGAGCAAAGGCCGCGGTACCGATCATGTGTCGCTCAAGTACCGCCGATTTTGCTGCAGCGTGGCGCTTCGATCGACCTTCGGAACAGCGAAGGCAGCACCGCGCTGACGTACGCTGCCCTCAACGGCCATGAGTGGGTGGCCGAGTGCGTGCGCGCCCTCGAGGAGCATGTTGCGGCCCAGAGGGCGGCAGAGAAGGCGGCGAAGGAGGCGGCGTGGGCTGCGGGGGCGGCGGAGAGGGCGGCGGAGAGGGCGGCGGAGCGGGCGGCGGCGGAGGCGGAGGCGGCGCGGCACGCCGAGGAGCTGCTGGCGGAGGTCGAGGCGGAGAAGCGCGGCAAGGGCAAGAAGAGCAAGAAGAAGAAGAAGGGCGGCGGCAGCGGCGGCGCTGAGCCGTCGCAGGAGCCCGAGGCAGCTGTGGAGGGTGCAGAGGCGCCATCAGAGGGTGCCGAGGTGCTGTCGGAGACAGCCGCAGCCGAGGCCGCAAAGAAGGCCGAGGAGGCGAGATTGATCAGGCTTCTCGAAAGTTGTCACGAGGAGAGGATCCGGCTCGGCATCACGGCGGAAAGCCAGGCAGCGGCTTTAGCTGAGATGGTCGAGGCGGAGCGCTTGGCCGAGGAGGCGGAGGAAGAGGAGGAGGAGGCAGAGGCGGAGGAGGAGGAGGCCGCGGCCGAGGAGGAAGCCGCGGCCGCGGCACTTGCGGCAGCTGAGGCGGCGATGGCCGCCGCAAAGGCGAGGCGCGCGGCCGCTGCGAGGGCCAAGGCGGCCGCTGCAAGGAAGGCGGCGGCCGCGGCCCAGCGCTCATAGAGAGCCGCTGAGAGGAGGACATGACGCGCGCATCTGGCACCGCGCCCGGCCGACGCCTGCTGAGGCGTCAGCCCCACGCCGCCCCGCCTTGGCGTCCCGCAGCGGAGGCAGCGGCGTCTCGACCCGACGCCGCGTGAGGCAGGCGGACTTGCGCTCGCGGGAGTGGCTCAGGCAGCACGGGGCGGCGGCGGAGGAGGTGGAGGGCGGGTAGACTGCTAGTCCCACTCCTCCACGGCAGTTCTCGGTACGCGGGGGGGGGGGGGGGGACTGAAAAAGAATTTTAGAACCAAAAACTGAGAACCAAACTCCCTCGCACGGATACGGTATCGCACGATCGAGGGCGGCCTTCTCTTGAGGGCGGTGCGGCTCTCCTTAGCTCTCTGTCAGTGTTTAGTTGATTAAACATTTACTGTCGCGCGCGATTTTATAAGTGTTGTGCTACGTTGGACCGCACGCCCGAGAGACTTTGCCCCCTATCCAGTCCGGAGCTCAACCCTCTGTGGCCTCGCTCGCCAACTCGCCCACTTTCGGTTGCGCATGCGCCACGAGCGCGAGGCGCTGGGCCTCGACGAGTCGCACTCGTCGCGCTCCATCTTCAAGACGCTCAACGAGGCGGAGCTCTCCGAGTCGCT